AACACTGAGAAGCAGTGGTCTTAAAGAGATGGCGAGGAACATGAAAACAAAGCCAAAGGTCTCTTTGAATCTTTTTCTTTTTATTTGGTTATCTGTACTTAGTCATAAAATTGTACACAATGGCACATCTTTATATCTTAAAATTGCCTATATGTTTGCTAACACTGATACCGTGCGGTCCGTGCTAAGCTTGAGAGCTACATCTTTTTATTTCTAAAACGGTACACATCAGCTATCAAAGGTTACAGTCAAAATGAAGATATATGAGCCACATTGCCCAGAGAAAGAGGTGAGGATGGTTTGGGGTGTGGGTGGGGGACTCTCCCTTCTTCTATGAAAAACCTCCCTGATTCAGTCTTGTTAGAAACAACAGTTTTTGGTTTGGAAAAGAAAATGCACGTAAGTTGGTAAAGTAGCATAGTGCTACTTTTTCTACAGTACGGGGGAAAGTCAAGTCTAAATACATCAAGGCTTATTTTTATGGAATCATGCAATGGTGTTAAAAGTGGGAGAACTCAATGGTCAGGCAGGAATAAGGCAAGACGGATGGTGGGCTTCTCCCTAGGTCTCATGCAGCTCTTACTACTAATTTCTTTTAAAACTTGGAAACAATTCTGAACGGTTTTAGATTCTGCAGGGATACCCAGTAGCAACCTGTTGGAATAAGTGGTTGGGTGGACGAAAAGAAGAGGGTGTTATGACGATTCTCAATCATCCAGGTCATGGTTGCCCCAAAGGTGTTTTTCCAAAAGGCAATTGGACTTCGTTCTTTTCCCCTTGAAAATGTTTTGCTTCTCATCCAAGAAGCATCTTCAGTTCTGAACTCACCACTCCAGGAGAAAAGCTGTCCCACTGATTAATCGTTCTTACGGTTAGGAATGTCCTCCTTATTTCTAGGTGCAATCTACCTCTGATGAACTTCCACCAAGTGCTCCTTGTCCTTCCCTCAAATACTATGGATAATACATCAATGCTCTTTGACAACCCTTCAAGTATCGGAAGACAGCTATCACGTTTCTCCTGAACGTTCTCTTTGTTTCGCTTCTCATCCAGGAAGTTTCGCTCCTCATCCCATTCTTGAATGAGAAGCAAAATGTTTTCAATGAAAAAAAAAAAAAATTCAAGAAAATCCAGTCCGACTTTTTGGAAAAGCACCTTTGTGGGACAAGGAGAAGAGGAACCTTAGAAACCGAAAAGAAAACGAAGGGATGCTTGCAGTAATATGCTGGTACTGGCTGGAATTTTGTGAGTTGGTTGAGAGCAAAGCAGAAGCAGAATGGCCAACATGCCATTGATGGTGTTTGATGGTTAGTGGTGTGGCAGTGTCACTGGAGCGGGCACATTTACCAGCACACCACTGGGTGTGTATATCGGAAAGACCTTGTGGTTCATCCACTTCTGTTCTGCTCTGCTTACTCTTTGCCTCAATTCCATTTCCCAAACATATGGCCTACACAAAAGCACTCTCACGGAAAGCTACATCTCATGGGCCAAAGATAGTTGCTCACCCCTTTAAGGGTAAAAGTAAAGGTTCTCCTCGCACATACATGCTAGTCATTTCTGGCTCTAGGGGGCAGTGCTCATCTCTGTTACAAAGCCGAAGAGCTAGTGCTGTCCAAAGACGTCTCCATGGTCATGTGGCCTAAACACCCAAGGCTCACGGAAGGCTGTAACCTTCCCACCAAAGTGGTCCCTATTTTTCTACTTGCATTTTTTTTTTTTACATGCTTTCAAACTGCTCAGTTGGCAGAAGCTGGGACAAGTAACGGGAGCTCACTCCATTACACGGCGCTAGGGATTCGAACTGCTGATTTTTCTGTTTGACAAGCTCAGCATCTTAGCCACTGAGCCACCACATCCCTGCTCACCCCTTTATGCAAGGGAATAATTTGAAATGTATGCTACGGGTACTTGGATGCTAACCACCCTAAAAAGAAATGTTATTCCTTTATCTTGTAAGACTCTGGAAGTTTGCTCGATGTAGAAGGTTGAATGGTAGAAGTTCACCCACGACCAAACTGCCATTCCTGTCTAAGTCACAGAGGTTGAGTGATTGCAAGGCATCTATTCCTGCCTAGACCAAATCTGCATGACCAAGCTCGTATTGTTGGTTTGCTTGGATGGAAGAAGCCACTAATTGTGGTTTTAGCAGCTTGCTTCATTTTTTTTTTGCAGGTTAAACTGAATAGGAAAAAAAGAAAAGAAATAGGTAGACCAGCTCAGTTTGTAGTCACTGTGTTTCGTCTTCATGTCAATGTTGAGAGAGATATCATATAGACCAGGAGTCTCCAACCTTGGCAACGGGAAGCTTGGCGGACTTCAATTCCCAGAATTCCCCAGCCAGCTGGCTGGGACATTTTGGGAGTTGAAGTCCACCAGCTTCACGTTGCCAAGTTTGCAGACCCTTGATATAGACAAGATGTTAAGAACGAAGGATGCAATACATTTTCAATTTAGATTTGAGTCTGGCTGAGATCCTTTTGTTAATCTATTCTGGTTTTCTCACTTGATCAACTTCTTAGAGTTCATGAAGAATCCATTCAGAAATGCAATGCAATCAGATGTCTCATTCTAAATGAGTTGTTGCATTTGTGGTTGACTTGGATAACATTGTCTCTAAATCAGCCAGACAATTGGATGCTATTGAAAAATGCGAAGAATGGCCGTTTCTATTCAAACCAGATCAAGTTTTTAAAAATTGTTATCTACTTAACTTCAGGCCACTTCAGAAATCTGAGTGGATTCAGAGATCCAAACAGAACTGACAATTCGGACCTGACCACTTTTGATAATTTGAATTGAATTAATGGTTTCAGGTTAAATCGGATCCAATCTACAAGTCCATTTAACTCCCAAAGAATATGGTGGATGCAGTAACTTTTACTTCTAGTTCTAAAGTGACATCATTGTGGGGTGGAGAGATTCAATTAACTGTTTCTAAGCAGGCCAAGAAATAGTTGGAAACCTTTTGTTTTATGGAAATACATGTATAAATGGAACAACGTAAGCAAACCGTCAACAGCTACCAACCTCCAAGGAGTTTGCATTAAGTCTATGCATTGCTTTGGATTTAAATCCAGATCAAGCGCCTGGCCAATTGAATCTTGGGGTTCCAAAGGAAACGACCATTTATGTTCCTTGGAGTTCTTCAATCAATTGAACCCAGAAGGAAGAATTAAGCTTATTTTTTATCCAACCTCCTTCAGCCTCCTGAGAATAAAACATAGGACTTTTGCAACACACTCTCGGGGTGTGGGGTGGGGTGGGAGGAATCTCCATGTTTACAGTGGTGGTGAAATAGCAGCAGGAAAGGAGTTCTCATTAAAAATATTTAACTTTTATCTTCTAAAACGGGGGTGTCAAACTTAGATCTGGCCTGCAGGGCCAACCTGGAAACAGCGAAGGACTAGCTCACGGTGCCTCTACCAGAGAAAACGGAGCGCAGGAGGGCCCTGGGCAGCCCTCCCGAGCTCCGTTTTCACTGGCAGAGGGTTGCAGGAGGCTGGCACAGCCAAAAACTGAGCTTGGGAGCCCCTTTTTTGCTGGCAGAATGCTCGGGTCACCACTGGCGCCCCCCCTCGACATGAGTGATGTCCAGCTGGCCACGCCCATCCTGACAGGGGTGGGATTCTACCGGTTCAGACCAGTTCAGGCAAACCGGTAGTTCCAGTGAGCATTTGGCCCCGCCTACCCGCACCTCTGTGCTTTTTTTCCTGTTTTTTTTTTTTTTTAGCCCAGCTGAGTCGCACGGCAGAGTGGTTTGCCACGCATCAGCTGTTGTCGTCCCAGGGGCTGCGATAGAAGGTAAGGAATTGAGTTGCGAATGAGTTCTTTTAAATGTAGAGCCACGCGTGCAAAGCGCACGCTCAGCCAACCGGTTGTTACACCTGTTGAATCATTGCACCGCTGCATTTCTGCCCCCTCCCCCCAAGGTCAAACACAACCCTGATGCGTCCCTCAATGAAATTGAGTTTGACACCCCTGTTCCAAAACAAGAGGAAGAGAGCGCCTTTCCACGACTGTAGGTCACTGGGTAGGTCACTTCACTGTGGTCTGAGCCAGGCCAGGTTGCTAAGGCAGGACATCCCATCCCAACCCATCTAGTCGTGGGGGGAGGGGGGAGAAAACCCCCTCCCTTGGTGAAACTCTGAATGCCCTTGGGGAAACCTCCTGCTAATTTTTTTCAAGACATTTTCCGCAGTGCTACATTAAAGCTCGCAATCAAGCTAAAAGTCTGGAGAGATTCTCTGTCTTCCAGGTCATGGTTGTCCCAAAGGTGGCTTTTTCAGAAGGCAACTGGATTTTCTTGGTTTTGTTTATCTTTTGAAGACGTTTCGCTTCTCATCCAAGAAGCTTCTTCAGCTCTGACTGGATGTTTGGGAAAGGGAAGGATTTATATTCCTTGCAGACAGCTGGTCATTTTGCATTCTTTGAGAAAGTTGTTGAGGTCACTTGGAGGTTTTGTCTGTGTCCTCGGGGGCAAATGGGTGTGGAGCCTTCTTGGGCCAGCTGAAAGGACTGTCTTGTAGACACAGTCTTCCATTCTCCACCATTCAGTGAGAGCTGAAGAAGCTTCTTGGATGGGAAGCAAAACATCTTCGAAGACTTACTAAAAAATCCTATTGCCTCTTGAAAAAGCACATTTGGAACTTGCAGTCAAGCCCTCATCTCTGGCAGCTACCAGACCGAAACTTGTTACAGGCTTGGGGTATATAGCTCAGGGGAGGAAAAAAATGGTTTTCTGGCCATGGCCTAGTAGTTGGAAGATAGTTAAGACTTCTTGTTGTTCCTTCCTCCACTTCAAAGAGCAAACAAATCTCATTTCTAGACAGAAATGTGTTGGAAGGAAGGGAGGGAGGTGAGACAACACGAGTAACAAAGTTATTAGAAAAGGTAAAGAGTGTGCTTCTCTGCCAAAGAGAGGAAAGGACGTTGGCACCGGCCAGGCGAGGAGAAGGAGAGCCATCTGAACTTCCCTTTGGGGCGCTGTCTCCTCCAGTTCAGTCTCGGTTGAGGGTGCACCAGGCAGCTGCAATGAAAAGAGATGCTCTCAGTAAACAAGGATTAGGGGGAGAGAGAGAGAGAGAGACAGAGACAGAGACACAGAGAGAGAGACAGAGAGAGAGAGACAGACACAGAGATACAGAGACAGAGAGAGACACACGGAGTCAGACAGACAGAGAGACAGACACAGGGAGAGGGTCAGAGACAGACAGACACAGTGAGAGGGGGAGACAGAGAGAGAAACAGACACAGAGAGAAAATATATAAGGAGAACCTCTTTTATTTAAATTGAATACACTGCTCAAAAAAATAAAGGGAACACAAAAATAAGACATCCTAGATCTGAATGAATGAAATATTCTTATGAAATATTTCGTTCATGACATAGTTGAATGTGCTGACAACAAAATCACACAAAAATTATCAATGGAAATCAAATTTAGCAACCCATGGAGGTCTGGATTTGGAGTTACACCCAAAATTAAAGTGGAAAAAACCACTACAGGCTGATCCAACTTTGATGTAATGTCCTTCAAACAAGTCAAAATGAGGCTCAGTAGTGTGTGTGGCCTCCACGTGCCTGTATGACCTCCCTACAACACCTGGGCATGCTCCTGAAGAGGTGGAGGATGGTCTCCTATGCGATCTCCTCCCACACCTGGACTAAAGCATCCCCCAACTCCTGGACAGTCTGTGGTGCAAAGTGGTGTTGGTGGATGGAGCGAGACATAATGTCCCAGATGTGCTCAACTGGATTCAGGTCTGGGGAACGGGCGGGCCAGTCCATAGCATCAATGCCTTCGTCTTGCAGGAACTGCTGACACACTCCGGCCACATGAGGTCTAGCATTGTTGTGCATTAGGAGGAACCCAGGGCCAACCGCACCAGCATATGGTCTCACAAGGGGTCTGAGGATCTCATCTCGGTACCTAATGGCAGTCAGGCTACCTCTGGCGAGTGCATGGAGGGCTGTGCGGCCCCCTAAAGAAATGCCACCCCACACCATTACTGATCCACTGCCAAACTGGTCATGCTGGAGGATGTTGCAGGCAGAACATTCTCCACAGCGTCTCCAGACCCTGTCACGTCTGTCACATGTGCTCAGTGGGAACCTGCTTTCATCTGTGAAGAGCACAGGGTGCCAGTGGCAAATTTGCCAATCTTGGTGTTCTCTGGCAAATGCCAAACGTCCTGCACAGTGTTGGGCTGTAAGCACAACCCCCACCTGTGGACGTTGGGCCCTCATACCACCCTCATGGAGTCTGTTTCTGACCGTTTGAGCAGCCAGATGCACATTTGTGGCCCGCTGGAGGCCATTTTGCAGGGCTCTGGCAGTGCTCCTCCTGTCCCTCCTTGCACAAAGGCGGAGGTAGCGGTCCTGATGCTGTGTTTTTGCCCTCCTACGGCCTCCTCCACATCTCCGATGTACTGGGCTGTCTCCTGGTAGCGCCTCCATACTCTGGACACTATGCTGACAGACACAGCAAACCTTCTTGCCACAGCTCACATTGATGTGCCATCCTGGATGAGCTGCACTACCTGAGCCACTTGTGTGGGTTGTAGACTCCGTCTCATGCTACCACTAGAGTGAAGGCATCGCCAGCATTCAAAAGTGACCAAACCATCAGCCAGAAAGCATAGGACCTGAGAAGGGGTCTGCGGTCACCACCTGCAGAACCACTCCTTTATTGGGGATGTCTTGCTAACTGCCTCTGCTTTCCACTTGTTGTCTATTCCATTTGCACAACATTTGCATGTGAAATTGATTGTCAACCAGTGTTGCTACCTAAGTGGACAGTTTGATTTCACAGAAGTGTGATTGACTTGGTGTTACATTGTGTTGTTTAAGTGTTCCCTTTATATTTTTTGAGCAGTGTATATTTCTTGTCTTGATCTTTCCATTCATGGCTCATAAAAGTTTGCAAGCAAAGGCTGGCTTCACACAACATCTCAACCCAGCTTATCAAAATACCATTCCCACAGTGACATTACTTGGCCTGTCTTTCAAGACCCGTCTTTCCGTGACCATCTCATCCACACAACCTGCTAAAGAACGACGTTCCCCCCATATCCCCCCACAATATCTTCAGCCATGAACGGTTGGGTTTTATTTCAACCTATTTCAACATGTTGTGTGAACTCAGCTAGTGAAGCTGACTCATCCCATTTGGCCCTTCAAAACGAAATGCCACCTCATACAACGAACCCAATCACATCCCTGCTGAGCTGGCATTAGATGCTGTGGCTTCAGCAAAACCAGGCTTCCTTGGTAGGTAGAAGCTAAGCAGAGTCAGCCATGGTTAGTAATAGGATAGGAGACCACCAGGAAAAGCCAGGGTTGTATCTATAATGGGAAATTGAACAGTCAGCCTGGAAGAAAGCAATACCGCACCATGTTCTATTTATTCCATTGCTAAGAAAACCAGGGATGTGTCAGGATTCAAGCTACTTTCCAAGGAAACATTTATTTAATCAAAATATTCAAACACGCAAGCCCTGTCTCCACACCAAGGCCACTCTAGATCTTAGCGTTGTCACAATCTTAGGGTTCAGACCTGGCACTGACACACTGGATACTCCTTCTGGCTGATTCAGCGTATCCACTTTGACATGCTGGAAACTTTTACAGACAGGGCTCTGGAGGTGCCTGTGGGGGCAAGGAGAAGGGCGGAGAAAAACTGTCAGCTGGTTTCTTAGAGCATTGGTGGAGCGGAAGCGGAGAGTAGAAAAACAAACTAGATCAAGACAGCAGTTACGGTACCTTTTCCAGTCATCCTCATTCTCCCAGAATTCGTAGACAATGAAAGTGACTCCATCAGGCAGCCTGACTGCAGTTACACTGCAAGAAATGAAACACATTGGGAGTCAATAATGACAAGCAGAGAAATCACCTCCTGTAAAAAAAATATATTTATTTTATTTAGTTTAAGCATGGATGAGAAAACAAGTATAAATATGAACATAACATATAAACATGTAAGTATAAACAGGTATAAGTATATACATAATAAATGAGTACGAATAAATGGGAACAGTAGGATAGGGACGGCAGGCACGCTGGTGCGCTTATGCACGCCCCCTTTAAGGACCTCTTTAAGAATGGAGTGAGGTCCATGGTAGACAATTTGACGTTAAAGTTTTGGGGGTCTGAGGATGTCACAACAGAGTCAGACAGTGAGTTCCAGGCAATGACCACTCTGTTGCTGAGGTCGTATTTTCTGCACTTGAGTTTGGAGTGGTTTACTTTGAGTTTGTATCTATTGTTTGCCTGTGTGTTATTGTGGTTGAAGCTAAAGTTGTCATTGACAGGTAGGCAGACAATTTTGTGTACTAAGCTTAGGTCAGACGGTAGGTGGTGTAGTTCCAAGGTGTCTAGGTGCAAAATTTCAAGCCTGGTGGTATAAGGTATTGTATGGAGAGCTGAGGAGAGGAGTTCATGATTCATCAACCCCAAATGAATGATTGGGTACACAAAACAACATAAGCTGCAAACTTTACCCCCAGCAAGCTGAGCAAACTTGTGTGAATCCAGTTACCCTTCTTTAGCTGCTAACCTTTAACTCATCCAAGAAGCTGCTTCCTTTATGACAAGGGTCGCCAAGCTTTTGGACCTCAGGGACCACCAAACTCATAATTTTAAATCCCGCAGACCACTAATATGAATTTTGACTGGCGGTGGCTTGCTGACATTGGTGGGAAAGTCAGTCCCATATTCCAGAGCTGCACTAGTCACAGGACTGAGCCTTGCTCTATGATGTTCAAGACTACAGATGGCCCTCAACTTGCATTCAGTTGTGGCCGGTTGGCCGCCGGCCCCTCCAGCTGCCGAATCAGAGGAGGAGGAGGAGGACATGTGGAAGTCAGGGTCGCATCAGGGCAACCTGAGAGCTCTGAGGGGGAAGAGCTGGCAGAGAGAGAGAGAGAGAGAGGCAGATGCGGAGCCTGGGCCGTCCCTCAGCCCTCAGGTGGAGAGTCAACAGCCCCCAGGTCTGGAGGTGGCTGATGAGGAAGAGGAGGAACAGCTGGGCCCAGTGCCTGATGCGCAGATACACAAAAAGCAGAGGAGAGGAGAGGAGAGCAGTGGAAATCTATGGGCAGGTCCTTGGGACAGAAGAGCCACGGCTGCAAACGAATCCCCATCCTAGCTCTGTCTCGGCATAAAAGGCAGGGGGAGGGGAGACGAATAGATGCGGTAGAGAACTATTCGTCTTCCGGCTGGCCGGACTGGTTAGCCTGCGGTGAGAGAGAAACTTTTGGCCGGGGCTGCCAGCACTCCTAATACAGGAATCTTTGAGTTAACTTCCTAGGGTTTGTTGTATTTGGGGAGCTGGGTCAGAACAGATTCATTTAGTGACCATTCCACGTTGCAACGGCACTGAAAAAAGGGACCTAGGCTAGTTCTAGTTCTAGAACATGCAACCAGCATGTTCTTTACAAGGGTTGCAACGTATCCTGGGGTCATGTGATCACCGTTGGCAGCCTTCACAACCGGCTTGCAACAAGTAAAGTCAATGGTGGGAATCAGATTTGCTTAATGAAACTGCAATTCACTTCAGTGCAGTGATTCACTCTAAGAACTACGGCAAAAAAGGGCTGTAAAAGAAGATGCGAATCACTTCACAACTGCCTCGCTTAGCAAGGCCACACCTGGAATACTGCACCCAGTTTTGGTCGTCACGTTGCAACATGTTGAGACTTTGGAAAAAGTGCAGAGAAGAGCAACTAAGACGATTAAAGGTCTGGAGACAAAAACATATGAAGAACAGTTGCAGGATTTGGGTATGGCCAGTCAAAGAAAAGAAGGACCAGTGGGGACATCATAGCACTTTTGTAGTATTTGAGGGGCTTCCACAAATAAGAAATCGATTTATTTTCCAAAGCACCAGAAGCCAAGACAAGAAACAATGGTTGGAAACTGATCAAGGAGAAAGAAACAACCTGGAATTAAGGAGAGTGAGGACAATTAACCAGTGGAACAGCCTCCAGATATCATGGGTGCTCCATCACTGGAGGTTTTTAAGAAGAGACTGGACAGCCGTTTGTCTGAAATGGTATAGGTTCTCCTGCTTGAGCAGGGGGCTGGACTAGAAGACCTCCAAGGTCCCTTCCAGCTCTATTCTCTATTCAATAGAAATTCCGGTCCCAGTTGAGGTCATAAGTTGAAGTCTCTTTGCATGAGCATTAAGCAGCAATATGAGCATCCACCAATCTTTCTGTAGTGTTGGGTGCATTGAGAAGTTTTGAGAGCTCTTTTTGGGTGTTCTCACTGAACGTTGTTGTGATCCAATTGCACCTTTACAATTCCATTGAGAAAAATAAAAAGAGAGAGAGAGAGAGAAAGGTGAAAACGATGTTTCCTGCTGCATTTTAGCTTCTTCCTGCCCCGCAAACGTATTTTCTAATAATGTTGATGGAGCCCAAGGGTTTTCTTTGAAACAAACGTGACGTTGGAGATGGGCACTCTGTTTTAGTTATTTAAAAAAGGAGAAGGAAAGAATGTTTAATTAAAGCAATATTTTTCCCCAAGAAAAATGGCACAAGCAGTTTGAGGAGTGGAAAAGAAGCTCCCTATGGAGAACTACACAACAGTCAGTTGTATTATCTGATTGAGGTTGTTTAGAGAATTAATGAAGCTTCTCCTTGCTGCTGAAGAACAACCAAACTTCATAATGCAGATCTTGCTTGGATGTTCCATTCCTGAGTCCTTTTGATTCTTTGCAGCCCAACAGAAACAAGTTGTATGTTGAGATGGCTGGTTATACAAATTGATTTGAGCAGGAGGTTGGACTAGAAGACCTCCAGGGTCTCTTCCAACTCAGTTATTCTGTTATGCTGATTAAATAAATGTATCAGGCAAGGAGTTTGGGACTGCCTATCTGTCCATCAGCAGAACAACTCTTTGAAAACCAAAAAAGATGGGGTAAAATTTGGAGTGCTGCAAGAATCTGGTAAGAGAAAAAATGAAATCGAAAAGTGGGCCAGATTGAGCTGGGGCTGCAGAGAAAAGCATCCCTGAATTTTTTTTCAAGTGTAATCCTAAGGATTTAAGCAATTGAGTAATGCAGAGCAGATCACAAAAGATGCCAACCATAGTATATCTGTTGTCTAAGCAGGAAATAATTGTTTAAATCAATAGTCACCAACCAGTGGGCCGGGGACCACTGGTGGTCCATGAGAAAATGTTGGTGGTCCACAGAGAAATGTCACCCCCAAAGCACCTCCCAAAGCAATTAATCCAAGCTGCGTGGAACTCAACGCTGTGCCGCTCACATGGCCTGCGGGAACACAAGGCTTGCATCGCTTGCATTGCGAACAACACGAGGTAGTGAGGGGAGGGGGGATAGGGTGGAGGGGAAACTTGCCCCACTCACACGACGTGCCTTGCCTGGCCACCGGGCTACTTCTTTCTGCTTCCTTCTTCTGCTTTTGTCTGCATGCAAGGAAAGCAGCAAAAGTCTTTCTTTCTCTCCCCCAAACTCCACCAGAAATGAGTCCTTGGGACCCTGTAAGGCTGCGCCGGCAAAGACTCATTTCTAGCGAAGTTTGGGGGAGAGAAAGAAAGACTTCTGCTGCTTTCCTTGCATGAACCCAAAAGTCTCTCTCTCTCTCTCTCTCTCTCTCTCTCTCTTCCCCTGAGAACGGAGCTGGAGACGGTATCTTGTGATCCCAAATAAAGAATGATCGATCAGTAGGAAAACAGGGTGGGGAATTTTCCTGAAGACTTTTTGTGGGGATTTTCCCAGGGTCTCTGGTCCGCAGGATTTAAAATTATGAGATTGGTGGTCCCTGAGGTCCAAAAGGTTGGCAACCCCTGGTCTAAACCAAGGTCACCAAACTAGAACTAAGAAGGAATTTCCTGACAGTGAGGACAATTAACCAGTGGAACAGCTGGCCTCCAGAAGTTCTGGATGCTCTATCACTGGAAGTTTTCTTAAAAGATTGAATAACCATTTGTCTGAAAGGGTTTCCTGCCTAAGCAGGGGGTTGGATCAGTGGTGGGATTCAATTTCTTTTTACTACCGGTTCTGTGGGTGTGGCTTGGTGGGCATGGCAGGGGAAGGATACTGCAAAATCCTCATTCCCTCCCCACCCCAATAACCTGCTTTCCATTGGTTGATTGTTCTCACTGTCAGAAAGTTTCTCCTTGTTTCCGGGTTAAATCTCTCCTTGTTCAGTTTCCATCCATTATTCCTTGTCTGACCTTCGGGGGCTTTGGAGAATAGATTGACTTCTTCCTCCTCCCTGTGGCAGCCCCTCAAATATTGGAAGACCGCTATCATGTCTCCTCTGGTCCTTCTCTTGACTAGACTAGCCATGCCTGGTTCCTGCAACCATTCATCATATGTTTTAGCCTCCAGTCCCCTAATCATCCTGGTTGCTCTTCTCTGTACTTTTTCTAGAGTCTCAACATCTTTTTTATAATGTGGTGACCAAAACTGGATGCAGTACTCTAGGTGTGGTCTTACTAAGGCTTTATAGAGTGGTATTTAGTACCTCGCTTGATCTCGATTGTATCCCTCTGTTAATGCAACTTAGGATTGCATTGGCTTCTTTGGCTGCAGCTGCACACGGCTGGCTCCTATTTAGCTGGTTGTCCAAAAAAGAAAGAGGGAGACCGGGATAGGGAGGGAGAAGTAGATAATGAGAGGGTTAGTGAAGGGAGAGGGAGAGGAAGGGAGGGAGGGAAAGCAAAGGGAGAGGGAAAGGGGAGGTGGTCGGGGAGAGGAGGGAAAGAGAGACAGTGAGAGCAAAGGAGGGGGAAGCGGGGGAGGGAGGGGAAGGGGAAGGGCAGGGGAGATGGAAAGGGAGATGGTGAGATGGAAAAGAAGAGGGGGGAGAGGGAAGGAGGGGAGGAGAGGGGGAGGAGACAGAGAGAAAGGAAAGAGGGATAGGGAGAGAGCGTTGGCTGAAGTGGTGCAGGGTTTCCTGCCTAGGCAGGGGGTTGGACTAGAAGACCTCCAAGGTCCCTTCCAACTCTGTTATTCTATTCTATTCTAGGGGGATAGGGAAGGAACAGGGAGAGCGAAGGAGATGGAGTGGGGCAGTGGGACAGGGATGAAAGGGGGACCGTGAGGGAAGGAACATAGGAAGGGAGGAGAGTTTTAGACTGGATCTGGCATTTTTAATCCCAACCAATATGATTAACGTATAGAAGAATCTTTCTGTCTTGGTAATCCTTGCTTCTCCCACTCCTTTCCCCCCTCTTCTTGTCTTTTTCCAAAAGAATGGATCTCTCCCTCCCTCTCCTTCTCCCTCTTTTAATTTTTGGTATGCGATATTTCCCTTTTGATCATGTGGAATGTGCAAAGAAGTGCCAAAACCCAACAAGGAATCCATTTCTGTTTGCAAATTGGTTTGCAAAGTGCAAATGAGATTGCTTTGTATTAAATGACAATCTGGACCTCAAACACCTGCCCCCCACCCCCCACTCCTTTCAGAAACTCTGGTGTCTCCTTCCTTCGGTCCCTGGCTTATTTTTATCTTCCTTAGCAGCTATTTTTATTAGGGATCGGAAGGAGAAGAAGCGAGGCAAGAAAACAATGGAGATAGACTGGTAGAAGGAAAGGAGAGCATCTTCCAATATTTGAGAGGCTGCCCCAGAGAGGAGAAAGGGGGTCAAGCTATTTTCCAAAGCACCCCGAAGGCCAGACAAGAAACAATGGATGGAAACTGACCCAGGAGAGATTCAACCTGGAAATAAGGAGGAATTTTCTGACAGGGAGAACAATCAACCGATGGAACAGAAGTTGCCTTCAGAAGTTGTGGGAGCTTCATCCCTGGAGGCTTTCATGAAGAGATTGGACTGCCATCTGTCAGGAATGGTGCAGGGTGGGGGCGGGGTTGGACTAGATGACCTACAAGGTCCCTTCCAATTCTGTTAATCTGTATCTGAAAGCCTTAAAAGATGGAGCACCCACAACTTCTAAAGGCAAGTCATTCTATTTACATTATTCCATTTACATCTTGTCTAAAAGCTAAGGGGACCAATCTTTTTTTTTTTTAATGGTTAATCCAGCCATTGCAAAGATATTAAGCAGGTTCTGTAGGTTCTCCAGATTCCAGAACACGTCCTGTTCCTGTAGAGGTCCGTGTCCTACTTACTGGAAGCAATCTTGTTCTCCAGCCACGTTCTTCAAGTACTGCTTCAGGGAGGCACAGAATTCTCCCAGGTGTTTCTGGGATACGTTCATTTCGCTTCGGACCAAGAGAAGATACTGAAATAACAGATAAGAGAAGAGATCACAGAGACAAAATGTTATGTCTCACCTTTCTTCTTTCCAAGAAAGATGAAAGAGTCCAAACTCAAACAGGCAGGCAAGAAGACTCGGTCTTTACAGAGTTAATCTTTTATACTGAAAATGTCTTTGGCATTCCAACACACGCTGCCTGCCAAGTCCAAAATGATAGCAAGAAGAATTAATCACTAAAGATTCCAAAGCAGACCACAAGAAACAATCACACCAAAACCTGGAAGAGAAGTAAAACTTTGTCCAGTACAAAGTTTCCAGAGAAAACACACCCACTTTTATCCCCTGTGGGGTGTGGCTCAATGACTCAGCTCACTCTCTGACTCGTCCACGTCTCCTACGTTGCTGCTCACATTTCTTCCTACGACGCTGCCTAGGATCAAGCCAACATTTGTTCACTTGACTCTCTGTCAGGGGCTACTCCGATAGGCCCTCCTGATTAATCTCAGGCTGTTCCTCTCGGTTGTCTGCGGAAACCTGAGGCATTATCAGGGAGGAAGGCATTGCCAGAGAGGAAGGCCCTGGGGAGGAAGGCATTCCCAGTTCCTCCTCCTCATCTTCCGAATCCTCTTCCTCTAACAGCACAGGCTCAGGAATCGGAGCCACAACACAAAGAGAGCAATTAAAATCTGCACCATTCCTTACACCTTTGTCCAGAAAGTTGTTCTGACCCAAACCTTGTTCCAAAATAGAGGTAACAGCAAAACCTTTTAATGATTCTTTACAAATTCTGTTCCTTCCTGGTTAAAAGGCTGTTTCAAACTAATTGTCTCTGATAAGAACGAGCCTTGCCAAGGTTGTCCAAGGCTTCCAAGAACACCAGATAAAATTGCCAAGAAATATTTCAAACCAAAAGAGTCTCCAGACACCAACCAAGATACTCCAAAGTCCACAAGGTTTGAGTACAAAAATATTTGTGTCCTGTAAAAGAACTCTGGTTTCTCAGCTGTTTTTGTCCATAGAAATCCATTTTTGGGAACTGGGTTAGATTAAGAGTAAGAGTGTTTGGTCCAAGGTCACAAACAGTAGGGCTGAGGGAGAATTTCAACTCCAGATTGTATCCTGATGTATTCTTGGTGACCACTTGATTACTCTATCATTCCATTCCAAATAGATAAAACAATAGAATGAAAGAGCTGGAAAGGGACCTTAGAGGTCTTCTAGTCCAGCCCCCTGCTCAAGCAGGAGAGCCTATAATATTTCAGATAGGTGACTGTCTAGGGCCTTCTTAAAAACATCCAGTGATGGAGCGTTCACAGTTTCTGGAGGCAATAATATGACATGAATCTTGCCAGAATGCCAAAGATCTTTAAATTTCAGCAAGCCATGTGTCATGACTTTGTCGGAATCTGATTCCTAGGAAAGGTGGAACAGCCAACAGGGAGTGGGAATGTGGCTCCGGTGGCTGTGGAGGAAACTAGGGAAGGGCACAGTCTGGCTGGGCATTCAGAGGAAGACCCAGGGCCACCTCCTCTTCATCCTAGGGCACGCAGGGAGGAATGGAGAAGGGAGCAATGTGGGTTACAGGGGAGAAAAGGGCCCTGATTCCCTTCATTAGCTGCAGCTGGGAAAACAGGATTTAAAAAGGGCATTTGCACACAGCACCTTGCTGGAAGCAAATCGTGAATTATAATTGTTAAGTCTTATCTGGGTTCTGGCATCCTCCCAACTGTGTGTGTTTCATTGTCTTTTGACGTCTTCAATCCCTTATCCTGCCCTGCCTCGTTAATTGCTGCAGCTTGTGGTTTGTGTTGGTTTTTATTTATAATTTAGATGTACTTTGGGTTCGGATGGAATTTCTTCCCTTTAGAAACTGTTCTTGGGAGAGATTTTTCTCCAGCCGATGATAACTGGACATTGGGGGCCAAGTTGGAGGAATTAAAGGACTTTACCTACTTTTGTGACTTTGTTGTTTTTGTGCCACGCCCCTTTGGGTCATCACACCATGTGAGATAAAATAGATCAGAGGACAGTTGAAAAGGAGGAGGATTAACCATGGCTCACTGAATTAAATTGATTTTCCATCATCAGGCTTCTGTATAGTGTTCGTCTGACGATGAGGCAGATGAGATTCTGCCAAAAAGTTGCTACAACTTTAAAAGCACAAGTACAATGTGGGAAAATACCCGAACAAAGCTGAATACCATACATATAAGTACCCGCAAAAACTTAAGAAAACACACACATATGTATGTATGTATGTATGTATGTATGAAGCAACCATGAATAAAAAGGATGCCCAGCTAGACAAAGAGTGATGATGGAGGGAAAGGTCACAATAAGACCTTTTTCCAAAAAAAAAAAACCCATTCTTTTTTCTTTTACAGAGGTACTAACCTTCCATATATTTTGGAATAAAAAAGATCAGGTGGATTTTTCTCCTTTTAAAAAATCCCAATGTGGGTCATCCTTGACTTACGACCACAACCGAGCCCAACATTTCTGTGGCTAAAGGAAACATTTGCTAAGTGAATTTTGCCCTACTTGTTAAGTGAATCACCACAGTTGTTAAATGTCACACAGTCATTAAATGAACCTGGCTTCCCAATGGACTTTGCTTGTCAGAAGGTCACCAATGGGGATCCCATGATCCGGACACTGTAACCATCATAACTATGAGTCAGTTACCAAAGGGTCTAAATTTTGATCTCGTAACCATGAGGATGCCGCAGTGGTCGTTAAATGTGAAAAATGGCCATAAGTCACCTTTTTTTTCAGTGATGATGTAAGTTTGACCGGTCATTAAAGGAACTCTTACAAGTTAAAGACTACCTGTACACTGATTGATTGAGTGATTGAGTGATTGAGTGATTGAGCCGAGGAGTGGTTGGAGAGAATGAAAGAAATGGTCAAGCCAAGTTATTTCAAGGCAATGTTTTCCTATTTCAGTTGTGTTTTAATCATAAGCAACTACATTTGTTTAGAAAAGCAATTTCCCCACTGTTAACCTGGCTCATAATCTCCAAGCTGGTCACCAGTAGAAATAAACAGTATTAAAATTGCATCACTTGTTCGTGTATCCAGGGGAGGAGTATTCACATGAATTATCAAATTACCATACGTAGAAAGAGAGAGAGAGAGAGAGAGAGAGAGAGAGAGAGAGAGAGAGAGACAGAGGGGCCTATATAGTCATATTCTATATATAATCAGAGTTATCTTTCAGCTGGCATCTTTTAGATGTGGTGGACATCTATTCCCATACTCCCCAGCCAGTACTGATTACCAAAGCATGCTTGAAAGCAACATGTTGGAGAAAGGGTGGAGCAGAGGAATAATCCAGAGAATTGAATGTGAAGTGATTGAATGGTAAGAACTACTCTGATCCCAACATCAAAGGATGTTTCTTAGCACTTGCTTCAAAAACAAAAGAGGACATTACAGACCCCACCCCAATGCAGAAAGGATGCTTTGAGGAATGTCTGTGGAGATGCTCAGTCATCCAGGTTGTGGTTGTCCCACAGGTGCTTTTTCAAGAGGCAACCGGACTTGGTTTCTTCTTTGAAGAGGTTTCGCTTCTCATCCAAGAAGCTTCTTCAGCTCTGACTGGATGGTGGGGAATGGAAGGATTTATACTCCTTGCAGACAGCTGGTCATTTGCATTCTTTGATTGAGTTGTTGAGGCCACTTGGAGGTTTTTCTGTGTCCTCAAGGTGACCTGCATAGTGTCAATGGGTGTGGAGCCTGCTTGGAACTGTGACCATCCAAATCCCCTCCCATCTTTGTCATGGCCCGCCAGTGGCCAGTGGGACTGGCAACAGATTCAGACAGTGAGGAGGTTGGGGAGGGGCATGGGCCAGTCCTGGAGTCTGGGTAAGGCTCTGACGAGGGCTCTGCGTCGGAGGCAGAGATGGGGCCAGGACCGTCTGACAGATCAGCTGCCTTTGGAGTCAGACATCAGCGAGGCAGAAGAACAGCTGGAGCCTGTTCCCAGTGTGCGCATGCACAGAGCTGCCAGAAGAAGGGAACAGCTCAGGAGCGAGGACTCCGCTCGGGAATAAAGGCACAGGTGGACGGTGAATGACCCCACCCTAGGGAATAAAGAGACCGAAAGGGGAGGAGTGTTTGCAGGAGACAATTAGTTCAATTCATTAGGGTGAACATCTGCTCCTGACTTCTTGACAAGTAATTGCTGCCACAGCGTGGCGTTTGGAAGATATCAGCCTGGCAGCTCCTCAAGCCTGATAAAGGTCTGTAGTTGTGAAATCTCCTGAAAGACCGTTGGCCGGGACTTTGCTGGAGAGGAATTCATTTTAACTTAAATAAAAGGGGTTTTATCGGGACGAGGAGTCGGCTTTGTGCTTTTGGGAAGCCCAGGTCAGAACAACCTTCTCCCCCGGAGTTCACAGCAGACTGGCACTAAGCCAGAAGAAGATGGCAGTTCTGAAAAAGCACCTTTGGGATAACCATGACCTGGAGGACTGAGAATCTCCCTAGTGGATATTCTGTGTTCTAAATTTGCCCTTGCCAGCAAACTCTATTCCTTCAACCAGGCTCCAACACAAAGAGCCACCATCTATGTGATGAATATACAGGACATGCAATGAGCTTGCTGAGTGGACATCACCAGTAGGCTGATTGACACTGACTAGTTAGATCCTTGAATTATCTTTTATTTTTGTAGACCAAAATAGTTCCAGCCTTTAGATAGCTGTAGGTTTTGCTCTAATTTGAGTGAAAATGGAAAACCAAATGAATGCACTGGTTGGTTTGGGGCTTTTAATGGCTCAGCTAGAACCTATTCCCAACTATTATTTTCCTTTTGTCAATAAAGTTAATGGTGTATTGATTTCCAAGGAGGAAACTGGTTGTATGACATCCTTATGAGAGTCCACTAACTACTTTATTTTCTTCTTCTGGGTGTGCAGAAATTAAGACTTATTACTCTAGTTATATTTTGCTGGGTGGAACATGATATTAACCCCCAAAGCCATATTGTTTTTATTTTTATCTGCTTCTATTATTCTCTG